TTCTGTGCGAATCATTAGTCTAATAGTTCATTCCTCTTGACTTCACCTCCTCTTCTCCAGACTGGAGTACAAGTTCCTCCGACAGAGTCTATTGTCCGTGACCTCGACGTTCGTGTCTGTTCTTAAGGACAGGCTCATCGCCGACCATCGCGAGACGACCCAAAGGTAGAATAGAACTCGTTGGAACTGATAACAAAACTTACCTACGGGAATACTGATGTAAATTTAGAGTAAATACATTTTTTTTGTATGTCAGTTTACATCAAGTTATTAAGAAATAGTGAATTACACATACTTTGATTAGTTTTGTATACCGTTTACTTAAAACAATTCACTTTATTGAAGCATTGAAGAACAAATAATATTAACACGTCTTGAATTGCTTCCAAAGTCAAAACGAAAACAAGTAAGAACGAGTAAATTAAGCACACTTATATCTTTTGTCGTTTCCGAAGCCTGAATCAGCAGTTCGAGACAATTCACAAACGGATCCAAGTGACTCCGACGTCGACGGACGAGCTGTTCAAACTGATGGAGTACGTGGAGGAAGTCAGAAGGATCACTATCCATCGCCTGATCGAGGAGGTGCAGGAGATGGTGGCCAGACTCAAGGTGACGAGATGATTGGATTTGATTTCCTGTTTATTTATTTATTTTATTTTATTTTATTTTATTATTATTATTTTTTTTTTGAGGGGGGGAGGTGCGTTGTTTTAGTTCAGACATTTCATTCACTCTGTTCTCTCGTACTTAGATTTTTTAAAGTGATATACCCAAGTCTAACCTCTTAACTTAGCTTTTAGAATTAGATAGATCTGACCTCCACATCCGACCTAAACTTAAGCTAATTAAGAGACAGTAAACTAAACTTAGAAATAAACACACACAGCCTAACTCAAAACTACAAGAAAGATTACCCATAGTTCTCTTGCACGTATATTAGAGAACGACTGAAGCTGATGAATATTAAAATAAAACGATTGCAGGTGATTTGCTGCATTTGATTCCAACCAAAATTCTTCTTCTTTTCATTCAAAATTGCCCATATTTTCTTATTTAACTACGAGAGACAACCACTGAAGCCCCTTAAAAAATAACGAATTGATCCTAAAAAGCAAAACTCGATTGCAGGTGATTTTGGACGTGGTGCATTTGACTCCAGACGACCTAAACACCACCGCCGCTGTTATCACGTGGCCCACCAAGCTCAAGCCTGTTGTTGATCACGCTGTAGAGGTGAGCTTAGTAGATATTGTAGATAAACATGAACTTGTGTGTGGAAATTACCAACCATATAGAAATAATCACTTCACGCATGTCTCAAGATATGTATGGAAATTATCAGACATGTAAAATAAATAAATAAATAAATAAACCGCTTCAAAATACCTTACCTACGACTCCACTGTACAGACGCAATGATACTTACCGTAACCTAATGCACATACGGCGCAATTTCTAAAATAACTAACCCATTACACTTGAACAGTCTCTGGAGGACCTGAAACAAGAGTTCGAAGAGACGCTGGTGGAGCGAGCAGGGGAGGTGTCCCACACCCTCGAAAGGATACAGCAATTCGTGACTGAGTTGGAGGAACTCTCTGACGTCGCCCATGTCAACAAGTACATCCGGGTACGTTGCTCTCTCGCCTTCGTGATTCTTGTGGACAATTATTATTATTATTATTATTATTATTATTATTGTTATTGTTGTTATTATTATTATTATTTTTATTATTGTTATTATCATTATTGTTATTATTAATATTATTATTATTATTATTATTATTATTATTATTATTATTACTATTATCATTATTATTATTATCATTATTATTATCATTAATATTATTATTATTATTATTATTATCATTATTATTTTATATTTTTTTACTGTTATTATAATGATTATTATTATTATTATTATTATTATTATTATTATTGTTATTGTTGTTGTTGTTGTTGTTGTTGTTATTATTATTATCATCATTATTGTTATTATTGTTATTATTTTTATTATTATTATTATTATTATTATTATTATTATTACTATTACTATTATTATTATTATTATTATTATTATTATTGTTGTTGTTATCATTTTTTATTACTGTTGTTATTATTATTATCATTATTATTATTATTATTATTGTTATTATTAATATTATTATTATTATTATTATTATTATTATTGTTATTATGATTATTATTGTTATTGTTATTGTTATTATTATTGTTGTTGTTGTTGTTGTTGTTGTTGTTATTATTATTATTATTATTATTATCATTATTATTATTTTAAGGAAAAATATTTGATATTGTATCTTCCCTTTAGTAGGGGTCTTGGGAATGAGATATTGTTAAAGTGATATAATAGCTACAGCATGGGAGGCAAATAATGGTACTGGTAGTGATGATAATGGTAACCATAACACCAACATTATTGTTATAACGTTATGATAATGATACTAGTCATGCTAATGATTATGATAATTATTAGCATCTTTATCATTGCTTATTAACATTATTATTATTATTATTATTACTATTGGTATTATTATCATTTTTATCGTTATTATTGTTATTATCGTTATTGTTGTTGTTATTTGTTGTTGCTGGTGATGCTTTTCATATTGATATAATGTTAGTTATAATACTACTACCAGAATGATAATGACAAGAATAACGACGGTAATAATAAGAATAATAAAAGTTAATACGAGGGACATTTATGCCATTATTTCTGATAATCGAAAAAAAATACTATTAAATCGCGCTTGCCCCCCCCCCCTCCTCCTATCTAATATCCCTCCTTTCCCATTTTTTCCTACTTCAGGAAGTGAGAAAACTGGAGGGGCGGCTGGAGAAGGTGAGCACCCTAGTGTCGTGGGTGAACCAGGAGGAAGGTCTCTTCAAATTCCAGCTCTCTTCCTTCCCTCTCCTGTCTGAGCTCAAGGTGCGTAAAGTGGAGGGATTTACGTAGCTCTTTTAGGTGAATTTTATATTTATGTTTTTAGTTTATCATTATACAACCTAGGTATAAAGTGTTAGGTGAATTTTATATTTATATTTTTAGTTCATCATTATACAACCTGGGTATAAAGTGTATATGGGATGATGTTATGTACTTGTGTATCATCATCATAAGGGGGCATACGCATGGCTGCGCTTTGCCGCGCCCAACCTTTGCCTCCACCTCCTGGGGTCCCTCCGAGCGAGCCTCCATGCAGCATTCCTTCCCACTCCCAGTACATCTTGGCAGATCTGATCGACTTGCTTCAGCCATGAGTTCCGTGGCCTTCCCCTTGATCTTCCTCAGGGAAACGAGCCACATGTCCATAGAGCTGAAGTTGGCGCTCTCGTATCAAACTGGTAATAGGTCTTGAATCAGTCTCATGGAGTATACTCTGATTGGACACATGGTCCCTCCAGGTATACCCCATGATTCTGCGAAGACACTTAGTAACGAAGGAGTTAAGACGGGCTTTCAGAGCACTGTTCAGTGTCCAGGTCTCACACCCATAGAGTAAGACCGGGATCACCAGTGCTCTGAAGAGCCTGATCTTAGTTCTCCTAGTCAAATACCGACAGCGCCAAATACTCCTATTGAGTGAGTCCATAACGCCGTAGGCCAGTCCAAGTCGTCGAGTGACTTCCCGGTCGGAACCTCCGTCGCTCTGCACTACACTACCAAGATAAGTGAAGCTATCCAAGACCTCAATGTTCTAGCCACAGGCATGCACAGACTGATCATCGACATCCAAAAAGTCCCCAAATTCCTGAACCTTGGTCTTGGTCCAGTTGACCGCGAGTCCCAAAGGCTTTGCCTCCTCATGCAGTGCCTCAAGAGCTACTTCCAGCACCTCTAATGTCTCCACTAGAATCACTGCATCATCGGCAAAGTCAAGGTCTGTGACCTTGAAATTACCAATTGATGCCCCACAGGAACTACGGTTCACGGTATGGCCAAGTATCCAGTCCATACAAGTGTTGAAAAGGGTTGGGGCCAGGACACATCTCTGTCTCACCCCGGCAGACACCGGGAAGAAGGCAGAGATACCCTCCCCACACTTGACAGCACTCTCAGTATCTGTATACAGGCCAGACAGCAAACCAATAATTCCAGGGGGGATCCCACGGAGACCCAGTAGGCTCCAGAGACTCTCCCTGAGAGTCTCTGGACTCTCAGGGAGTCGAAAGCCTTCTTGAGATCAACATAACCTGCAAGCATACCTTGTTGAAACTCATGTCGGCGTTCCACAAGGACACGAAGTGCTAGGACACGGTCTATAGTTGACTTCTTGGGTGTAAAACCAGACTGCTTAGGTCTCTGTGCTCGTAATAGGTGGTCGCGCACTCATGCCAAAGTACTCAGCCCAGCGGGCCCTATACTCATCAGGCTCTGACACAATGCGACCATCCTCTGCTCTCACTGAGCCCGATTGAGAGATGGACTTTGATCGGAGTTCCCTCAGGGCTCGGAAAGCAGGTCGAAGGTCATTTTGAGCAAAATGACCTTCCAACTCTTCCACGATGCCCCTAACGTACCTTTCTTGGTCCACTCTCAAAGAGGCCCTTGCAGAGCGAGACAGCTCCCTGTGCAAGACATGGTTCCCATCCAGTCTAGCAGCACGACTCATCTCTATAGTGTTCAGTGCCTCGTCTGAGACAACACACCTCCTTCGCCGAGGTCGGACACCAAGGCACTCCTCGGCAGCTGACAGAGTTCCTCGCTTAAAGGAATCCCATAGTTCAGCAGGGTCCTGTAGAGTACCAAGCACTTCAAACCGATTTGAGACTGCCACTGCATACTCCTGAGCCACCTCCTCACTCTTGAGCCTCTCGAGATGGAACACCTGCTGGTGAGATCTCGGGATGCGTCTAGATCTGAGGCGGAGCCTTAGTGTTGCGACAACAAGTCTGTGGTCGGTAGCAAAGAACTCAGCACTCCTAAAAACTCTACAGTTCTGAAGGATCCTCCAGCGAGTATCCACGAGAATATGGTCGATCTCTTTAGCTACAACGCTAGTATTAGAGTACCAAGTCCAGCGGTGTAGATCTCGTCTCTGGTACCACGAGCCCGCAATCCTCAGCCTCCTAGATCTTGCGAAGTCTAAGAGGTATGAGCTATTGATGTTCCTAGTACCAGAGCCATAGGGACCGATGCATAGCTTGTATCCTTCCCTGTCAGTGCCAGTGACTGCATTGAAGTCCCCCAAGACCATGAGGGTGTCCTCCCGGGGACATTGATCCACTATAGAGTCAAGTTTAGCGTAGAACATCTCTTTCTCTTCAAGCCCACTTCCCTCAGTAGGAGCGTAAACTGCCACTAGAGATATGTAGCCCAAAGTGTGCTTCATTCTCACAAGCAGAATACGCTCGTCAACAGGGGTAACCTTCTTGACTGAGGAACGGAAGCGGTCAGAGACAGCCACCACGACTCCCCTAAGGCGCGCACCATTGCTACAGCCAGACCAGTAGTAGGTATAACCCCCACTACTGGTCTCACCACTGCCAGGCCGTCTCAGAAAGAGCAGTGATGGCAATCCCCAGCCTCCCCAGCTCCCCCGACAACAAAGGCAGTCGATCATCCTCCGAGAGACTGAGGACGTTCCAGGCTGCTACACGGCACACTCGCCGCAGATTGACCCCATTTGTGGGGCTCCGGCCGGGCGACGCCTCGGCACAAACAGGCATGCCTCCCAAGGAGGAAGAGTGGGGGCCGGGGGGGCCATCCCCCCCACCACGTAACTTCAGGGTGCAGGATTGCCCTACACCCGTCATAACAGGCTCGTCGTCCTGATCAGGTAAGCCCCTGGTCAGGACGCCGAGCCAGGGATCAGGAACCCCCGGCCGCAAATCGGGGTCGGAGTCACCTCCTCCGGGATGGCTCCGACCCCTTCTCTCCTTACTTGGTTTGCCTGCTGGTGAGGGTTTTTACGGGGCCGGGTTGCCAGCCCGACCCCAACTGCTAGCTAGGGGCAGGGACGCAGAACTCCCTGGGGACAGATTGCCCCTGCTACCCCTGCTACACATACTTGTGTATGTGGAGAACATAACCCTATTATTATGCAAGCAAGAATACCATATGGTTAGGTATCTCCAGTATCTATGGCACGATACGTTTGTATTACTGTACGATAGTCGGGTAGCGAATACGGCACTGCCAAACGTATTTTTACTGCTGAACACGTGCTTTCCGAGCTTACTGTCCCTTTAAGGACGTAATAAGTACCTACGGGGATTTCTTTCTTCACTTAAGTTTTACCCTAAATGACACGAAACAAACATATACATAAAGAGTAATATATTATAATATATTTATTACAAGTGCATTTGTTATTTATTTGTGTCAATTTTTTTTTTATTTATTCTGCTTGGATATTGTAAATAATGTAGTACTTAATATAATCCTCGTTGGTTTTGAAAAAAAAAATCCCACATCTTACCGAAACCTTTACATCTTAAAAAAACGAAAAAAAAAGTCACATCGAAATAACGAATACGCTGGAACAGTAACTTTATCTCAACAAATAAAGAAATGCCATTTTCATAATCAACAAAGGGAGAATTGAAAGGGGGGAAAAAAAACTACCCACATATAAACATCATATCGCACACTAACCTTTTGACCCAACATACAGAAAACTCGTCTATTGACCCTTTGACCCGCTATGCCAAAAAGGATCAAATCGCCTTCCTTCTCTCCCTTCCCCAGGAGTGCCTCGTGCCCTATGACGAGCTCTTCACGCTGGTCATGAAGTGGCGGAAGTACGAGAAGCACTGGATGGACGGAGACTTCACGAGCCTCGACCCGGAGTTCATCGACGTCGAGACCGAGGAGCTAGCGAGGTGAGGGGGAGGGAAGGGGGGGGGGGCAAGGAATAGTGAGAGGGGGTGAATGGGTTGGTGGTAGGGAATGGACAGATGGGGGGGGGGGGTAGGTGGTAGGGAATGGACAGGGGGGGGTATGAGTAGGAGGTAGGGAATGGACAGAGGGAGGGGGGGGATGGGTAGGTGGTAGGGAATGGACAGAAGGGGGGGGGATGGGTAGGAGGTAGGGAATGGACAGAGGGGGGGTGGGGGTGGTAGGGAATGGACAGAGGGGGGGATGGGTAGGTGCTAAGGAATGGATATAGGGGGGGGGATGGGAAGGTGGTAAGGAATGGAAAGAGGAAGTGAATGGACAGGTGGCAAGGAATAGAGTAATGGGATAAATGAACGGAATGGATACGTGGCAAGAGAGAGATGAGATGAATGAGTGATAGAGAAAGGGCAGGCGATGGGGGATCGGCAGGTGACCATATTAGGAAATAGGCAAGGGAAGAGGCAGACAGGTGACGGGAAGCAGATCGAATGAAAGAGTAAGAGAGGGAGTGAATCAACTAAGGGGAATTCTCTCTAATGAGGGGAATCGACAGGTGACAGCGAATGCTAGATGAGGGGAGAGGAGAGGTGAGAAGAGGAGTGAGCGGATAAAGGCAACCGAAGGAAATGTCAGGGTGAGAGGATCGGTCAGGTGGGAATAAACATAGCGAGATGTTGAGCAGCAACGGCTATGCAACAAACAGATATGAACTTACGCACGTTGACGGGAGAGACGCGAAGGAAGAGTGACTGTGGGTGTGAGAATCCGGAAGTGAAATTGACTTTTGATGAATGCAGAATAAAATCAGGTGATACTTTCATATAATAAAAGTTTAAAAGTGAAGTATATTAGTTAGCTGAATAATTGAATAAGAGATGTAAGCTTCACCAGAATTGCACTATATTTAATCGAAAATTCAGCTCTACGTGCCATTTGATCGAAAAGCGTCAGTTACATCTGTTGTTAGTTATTAATTATACCTTTTATACATTTTGTAACAATCAACCCCGAATATTAGCTTACAGAAAGGAGTGACATGAAGAAATTGGACAAATATCAAGGTAAACAGATGGTAGCAGATATTATATCATTATAACGAATGCATTAGCATAAGGTATTTATCAGAACAATGAAATAAAATGTGTTCTAATGGGCAAGAAAGGAAGAATAAGCTAAAAGACTTACAAGGCAAAAAAAAAAAAAAAAAAAAAAAAAAAACATCTATAAGGAAGAACCATTGACTACTCAGCATGTTTAAGAAAGCATGCGCATGAAAATCTCAAGTATAAGACAAAGAACATAAATATTCGGTAAAAACAATATATTTAGTTCACAAACATTTAGTAAAACCAGTAAGTGTATTAAACTTAAACATACAGTTAAATTAAGGGTAAACCATGACTATTTATTCATCAGTTACAACTCTAATACTAGGTCATGTTTTGTTCAATTTTGAAGGTAAATTTTTTGCACAAACCTATTGTCTATGGTCCTGGATAATAGACGTCAGCCTATTGTACGAAATTATGTCTCGTTATATTAATATTTTCCTATCCAGTCCTAGAAAATGAAAAACTGGCAACTCTCTCAGACCTCTGGACGATATTATGTTTAATGCAGCAGATAAAAAACAAAAATCTGGAAAATGTATTTAGATTTTAAAAATGCAAAACTTGTGTAAGTACAAGTATTGTCAGCTGAGTAGAATTTAAAAAATAGAGAATCGAACCGAAGTACTCCAGAATCCGATATGAGTTGCCATTTTCTCCTTTCCTGAAATAAGACACCCTGTAGTAATGTATATTCATGTCTTATATATTGTATGAAGTCTCCATAGCACATGTATAGCCTATACAAAGTTAAGCTGTAGTTCCTTTTTTGTTGTTGCTTCCCCGTCTCCTGCAGAGAGCGTACATCTCCCGAGGCCACAGAGCGGTATTTTATTTTGTCTAGAATAGTTCCCGTTTTCCTTCGCTTGTCCATTGGTGTTTCTTCTGGTTCCCGTTTTCTTTCGCTTGCCCACTGTTGTTCCTTCTGGTTCCCGTTTTCTTTCGCTTGTCCATTGGTGTTCCTTCTGGTTCCCGTTTTCTTTCGCTTGTCCAGTGTTGTTTCTTCTGGATCCCGTTTTCTTTATCTTGTCCAATGATGTTTCTTCTGGCTCCCGTTTTCTTTCTGGCATGCCATCGAATTCGCTTTCATGTCATGGGCCGGCTGTTTGATTCAAGGAGTTTCTTTGAAGCCACTGCGTTAGCGTAAAGATATTACTGCTATTATTATTATTATTATTATTATCATTATGATTATCATCATTATTGTTTTATTATTGTTATTGTTATTATTATCATTATTATTATATTATCATCACTATCGTCATCATCATAATCAGCATCATCAACAGCTATGAAAACATCACTATCATCGTCATCGTCATCAATTATTTTTTGTATTGTTATAATGTTTAGTTATTCCTTAATTGTTGTTATTGTCATCAATGCGATACTTTATATTTAATCAGTATTAGCATTATTTTTTATAATTGTTGTTGATATTATTATTGTATTTTTTTTTTTTTTTTTGTATTTCTAAATCATTATCGTTATTATTGTTATTACTCTTACTCATGTTTTTATCATTACTATTAAATTAAACTAAAATTATCGGCGATGTAATCTGCTTTCGAAATGATTAATTGCTTGCGTATATGTTGTCTAGCTTCAAGTTTTTTTTGTTGAAGTTGTTTCCTTTATTATGTTTCCTTTCCTATAACAAAACAGAATTCTCTTCTTTTTAAGAAAAAAATTTCAAGAACCCGTTTCCGTTTTTGTTGACTTTAGGCTTTTTGTTTTGTTTTTGTTTTTTTGTTTCGTTTTTTGCCCCTTTTCCTGAAAGCCTTTCTGCGGAGAGCTGTCTTCGTATGTTGATAACCTGTTGCATATTTCTTCCCTTGTGCTTTTCATTCCATTCCTGTCTTTGGAGAGAGATTCTTCTAAGTTCTGATTAATTTCTAGTTAATACTTTTGGTTTATTTATATATTGCTAGATAATTTCCTTTCATTATTGCCCTTGATTTCCAAGAACTTTTTTCGTTTCTTTTCTCGTTATATATTCCGATATAGATATATACTTATTTGGGCGATCTGCGTTTGATTTCTTCTAAAATGCTCCCTGATGTAAATTCCTTTCATGTTATGTTCTAAATGCTGATATAATGGCTTCCTATTTCTCACTACGTTTCCCCGCCTAATCTACCATACTTTTTCCCTCATCGTAACCTTGTATATATTTCCATTATATTAAGTCCTCTGCTGAGCCCGAACGATTGAGGACAATTGTATATATGTGATGCACAATATCCTTTAGCCCAAAACTCATGCGACATTTCGGACACTCCCAGACCCCAGCCGAACAGTCCTCTTGCCTTGAACCACTTATCGCCTCTTATCGCCTCCAGGGAGCTGTTCCGCCTCCGCAAAGCCTTCAAGATGAAGTTCAAGCAGCAGGCGCTGGAGGGCGACCCGAGGAAAGCCCGCATGAACCTCGACGACCCGAATCCAGATAACTTGCCGGGGCCGCTGAGGGTGTGCGCCCTCGCCCTCAATCAGATCAAGGGCTTCAAGGAGCACCTGCCCCTCGTCTCCGTGCTGTGCAACAAGGGGCTGAGGGCCAGGCACTGGGAGAACCTCAACAAGGCGGCGGGATTCGACATTACGCCCAATGCTGGCACCAGGTGAGGATAGGCTTGCGTCCACGCTGGGATCTGGGGCAAGGGACGACTGTGGATGTAGGTATGACTGAAATACAACCCTAAATGTATAAAGCACAGCCATTAACACACATAAAGACAAATTTGCTCGTACTCCTACCTATACCATATCAGCTTACGTGCGTATGCATACATACATGTTTACGTGCATGCTCATGTGCATACATCTACGCGTACATACACACAAGCTCACACGTATACCAGCACAAACACGCATGCATGCACACCCATCACGTACAAACATACACGACCACCACCAATAAACAAACAAACAAAAAAAAAACATACACACAAACTTACAACTCCAAGAGAAAGACAACAAACCCACCAGTTTAGTGGCGCAGGCGTCTCTCCTCCCCTCCCCTCCCCCACAGCTTCCACAAAACACCTGTCGAAAGATTCTTCTCACTACTTCCTCCCACTCACACCTCCTCCTCCTCCTTCCCCGTCTCAGCCTGCGGAAGGTGGTACAGATGGACCTCGGGGGGCTGCTGAAGGAGTTCGAGGTGGTGAGCAGCGGCGCCTCGAGGGAATACAACCTGGAACTATCGCTAGCCAACATGAAGAGTGCCTGGGAGTCCGCACGGCTGTCCTTCGCCCAGAATCCGTGAGTGGCTCAGGAGAGGATCGGCATGTTGTTGTGGATTCTTGTTTCGTTTGATTTTGTTCTTTATTTACTTGCTTTCTTCTATTTTTTTATGATACTTCTTGAAAACGTGTATGATTATGACTGTTCTCCAAAATTCCCACGAAGAGGACAATGACACAAAAGAGTGCTTAAAATACGACTTCGAAAGCAAGCATTAAAGCAATAATTATCGCCCCTTCGCTCCGCTTGTAGGGACGTCGGCGTACAGGTCCTCGATGGGCTAGAGGAGGTGAGGGAGCTGGCGGAGGAACACCTCATTACCACGCACACTATCAAGAACTCGCCTTTCGTCGGGCCTTTTGTCGGTAAGGGAAACGGACTCTGGATTTTGTGTGTGTGTGTGTGTGTGTGTGTGTGTGTGTGTGTGTGTGTGTGTGTGTGTGTGTGTGTGTGAGTGTGTGTGTGTGTATTATACTAATATGCTTACAGACATATTTACAGTCCTTTCCACAAATCCTGATCCGCGCCGGGCAGAGTGCGCACGGTACAGAAATATTACTTTCTTTTACCATATACATACACATGTTTACTGTCTCCTCAGTAAAGGTTATATTCACAAGCTTTTTTGGGGGGTTTAAGGACACGAGTCGTTAAGGTTAACGGACATATGGGTGGATAGTCTTTGATTCATGTTATGTAATAATGACTTTTTATTGAGATTTTATGCAGAACATATTCCATGTTAATGATATTTAGGATCTGGGAACACTGAGGTAATTGCATTTGTAAATTTAACAGGTTTGCGACAGGTTCTACAGTTTTAGAAGTGGAACATTCTTATATTTTAGTGTTCTCATATCAACAGAACTTCGTATCTGGTGAGGTGCCTGACCTATGATCCGCTATGTACAAAGAGAGGAAGTGCTCTACACCCTCTTTCACTTGGAGTGTCTCTGGACTTTTGGAGGGGGCTGTGCCTATAAATACATTGAAGATACAAATATTACGAATATACAAACATTACATACACATGAAAATGAATGCTCAACCGAAGTAATAACACAACAGTCTCTTTCTAACCTTGCTACCAACAGATGACGTGAAAATGTGGGAAGCTACATTGCGAATGGTGCACGAAGCCCTCACAGTTTGGATGAAGGTATAGTGCTTATGCAGATTCGTATAAAAATCTACATATAGGTAGACAGAAAACCATTTATCTATATCAAATGCATATTATATACTGCTCATTCTCCTCTGTATACATAAAAAAACATCAA